TGATTATATTTTCGGTTCTGTATAAGTTTTATAAAGTGTACTACCGGTAGTACAAAGGCCTAAATCCAATCCATTAACAAGCAAAACAGTAAAATGATCATATACAAATATATACTTACTTATTCATACACTATTCTATAAATATCTAATTATTGAAAACAGTTTTGTTATTATAAAGATTAATATTAAAACTACACAAAGTAAAAATACTAATGATATTGATCTACTCGAAAGGACGAATCTTCGTAACCTACTTATCAAGGGGTTTTTTTTTAAGCATTTGTTGATATGGTTGTATACTATAATTCTTTCTTTATACACCCATTAGCTTATTTTTGTTACTGTATTTACTCTTTTCTCCCTTTTATTAAGGATTAATTAGTATACACATTACAGCATTATTACAATAAGTAGAAATTACTAGCTTTACGGCTAAAAAAAATTTTTCATATATCGTGACGATCTTTACTCTAAAAATTACAATTGACTGTAGCCAATCAAAACGAACTTCTTTCAATGCTTTATTTGGACAGTCCTCCTTGTCGAGACCCTATCCATATAAAATTTCTTCGAAAAAATGGAAAAGCTTTTACAATGGTCGATTGAAAATAGCGATCCCTCAAATGTATTGCAGCAATCAACTACGCAAGAAAAAGATAACTTAGTACGTAGGTATATTTATGATAAATACGTGACCACTGGAGCAATATGAGTCGTACTGATCAGCTTTTGGATAAAGGATCCGGAAATTATTGATCACATTTTAGGAAAGAGTGATGCTGTTAGAATGCGAGGTAAACTAAATAAATTTTAATTTTGTCCACAAATGTTATTATATTCAATTATATTTATTTATTTTGTGGGTAATAGAGGCCGTCGAGGCAGTATTAAATCCAGAGACAAGTTTTGATAATAAAGAGATTGCTCTCGATAACCTAGAAATGGTTTGCATTATTTAGATCTTTTTATTTAATAAAGTTCATCGGAAAGACTAAAATAGTTATTTATTTATAGCTTGTAGAACAGATAGATAATGCCATTGGTAATTACGAACATATCATATTGAAATAGGACTGTAGATCTTTTGAATCAAATATTTAATCGGCACTACTTCATTATAGATATCGAGAATTTGAATTTATGGCCACAAATTCTTTCATTTCTTTCACTACCAGAAGCTTCTCTTAGGACACAAGCTTTATGGGTATGTGGAACTGCTGTTCAGAATAATCCTAAGGCACAGAAAGCTGTAAGCATTTAGTCATTTTATTTGCGAATTATTTGTCAATTGCAAGGATAATCTTAAAAGGAAGTCTTTCTTTAATGCAGTTCTCAGAAAAAGGAGGATTGACCCTCATTTTGAATATATTAAAAGATGAAAACGAAGATATGGAAGTTAAGAGTAAAGCACTATATGCGTTGTCTGGTGAGTCAAGAGTTTTAAGACTTCAATTATACATGCTTTAAATTAATTTCTGTGTATTAATGTTTTCAGGGGCTATAAAGCATTATCCTCCAGGGTTGGCTCAGTTGGAGAAAGATGGAGGATATGACGTGTTATTGAGATTATTAGAAACTTCTAATGGTACGATATGGGTTTTTAGATAAACATCATTTGAGAAGAATTTTCGATTAAAATATGTTTTATATATTTTCAACATTTAGATATCCAGTTACTGCGTAAAATAGTATTTCTTTTCAATACATTGCTTGTGCAAGATCCGAATACTGTGTCAATGCGAATAAAAGAAAAAGGACTTGCCAAAAAGATGATTAATATATTAGATAAATATGGAGAGCAAGATGAAGATTTGACAGATAAGGTTAGCAAATTGTCTTTGTTTATTAGATAAGTGTAATTCATAAATTTTACAAACTTGAATATTTTGTAGGTTCTTCGTACATTGCTTGCTGAATTACAACACTCTTCACAATCTTTGACCGAGGATGAGATAAGCGAGTTGAGAAAACTTTTTCCAGTGCTCAAAACAAAATATGAGAAGTGCGCACTGTCCCCAATAGAATGGGAAGAATTAGAGAAACGAATTCAACAACGGAAACTTGTTTGAAATATATTCAACCTTTTATTGCATGTTTTCATGTTATTGTCTGTCTCATTTTATTTAAAGTATTCTCAGTTTGTTATACCAGATTAAATGTTGCTACGTGATTTTCAAGGCGAACTAACGAGTAATAATCATAACATGAATTTTTTGGGAACGATTAATTTGTTAATAAAAATACTGGTTTTTAGAGTAAATGATTTTTAAATAGCCTATATTAGTGTTGTTAACTGGCAACACTGGAAGGCTACTGGAACTCCACTGGAAGTAAAAATTAATAGTACCACTGGAACTTTTACTATTAGAAATTTTCACTGGAAGGCTAGAAATTCCCACTGGAAGCCAAAATTAACATCACTGGCCTATATAACGTTCTGTCATTTTTGTTAATTTTGATTTTGATTGAATTATATTAGTACTTGTCAAAAATGATATCAAATGCTGCAATTGAATCTGAAATTTGGCAGAATCTTAGTCATTTAGTCAAATTATGACAATTTTCTCAATCGCATAACTCAAAAAAATTCTAGTTTTGCGTGTCTGCTATTTGCAATTGGAAAATGTGTACCAGGTTGATGGCGCAGACAAAATTCTTAAAATTTGTTAAGGTTAGGATCAGGGTTAATGGCTGGAGGCAGGAATGTCACGGGATAGCCTTTGGACAAAGTTTGGACATCTTGGACATTTTTAAATATTAAAATTGCTCAAAATTTTATTAAGACAACCTATTTTTCAACTTTTTAAGTAAAAATGTTTAAAATATATAATTATGTTATTTTAAAATAAATTTTTTAATTATTAAAGCTTAGATGAGCTTTGGACACTTGGACGTTTGGACGTTGGACATGCCAAAAAAGGCTTTGGACATCAAAAACGTCATCCCTGGCTGGAGGGGAGTCGCTTTAATAGTAAAATTGCCCAACAAAAACTTTTTGTTAGAGCACAAAAGGTGGTTTCTTATGCTGATTTTTGAGTTATAAGCGATTTTTGGCAGAACGAACTTTATCTTCTTGATTGTGTTACGTTACACCTAATCTTGAAAGCTGATTCGTAGATCGGAAGAACTACGTCACCAACCTGGTACACATTTTCCGATCACCCAACCAAACACCCCAAAGTACTGTTAGTAAATTGTCATCTTATGTGATGAAATAGTTTTTGGAAATGGGACATAACCGAAAGTTTTAGTTATTACAGTGTGGTTTGTTTATTAATGAGAATTTTAAGATGAAAATATACTCAGAAAATTATTAAACGGTAAACATCGATCCCTATTACGTATTATGGTTTAAACAGCACCATATTAGGTTACTCTCATGTTAAATAAAGTATCTAGAGTCTATTAAATTATAGTCAATTAATAAATTTGACAGAAATGAATGAATTAACCCGAATCTGGCAGATAGATTTTCTTAAACTTGCTTTTAATAAAATTTCAACAGGATAGGCATTACAAACATTCAAAGTAGATTCACATGACGCGAAATACCGGAGATCGCCTTAATTGAAAATTTAATAATTACAAGAGGATTTAAAATGAAAGTGGTTAGTTGTCCGTAATTTACAAACACTGGAAAGTTATTGTTACAGTATCCCACCAGAGAAACAATTATAAACTCTACGAATTACACAACATTTATCCGGTAAGATAACATACTATACATTGTAATCTCATACACTATGCATTCTCTTCTTCATCCTCTTCTTCATCCATAATACTAAAAATATTTTGTCGCTGTTGTTGCTGTTGTTCCTCAGGGAATGTCACAGGTGTATCAACAAAACTAGTTACACTCTGATTGTCATTGTCATTAGTATCCAAGACTTCAACATTCCTATTTAAATTTTCGTCGTCATCTTTATATCTCGTGGTATTACTTCTTAATACGTTATCATCTAAAGGAGCTGTGTCTTCCTCTTCTTCGGCAAGTAAACCTCGGTGTAATATAGAATCTTCGTCTACCAATGTATTACGAGGTTCAAGTGCAAAATAATTGTTGTTCTTTGGTATTGATTTTTTGGAACGCCGGTAGAGAGCAAACACTATCACGAAAATTATGCCTATTGTAAATATCTATTTATACACGCAAAAATATTTAGTTTTTCGAAAATTTTTCGCAAATTATGTATGAATCGGATAATGTGTTACCAAAATCCATGTAGGTGGCCAAGATCCATTATTTGCATCTGTTTCGGTACCTGTCAATGAATAAAGGTTTAATTTTTGAGTGTGAAAAGGTCAACTCAGGCCGGAGCTAAAACTCGTGCACGCACCTCCAACAGAAGCATTTTTATATAATTGCTTATCTTGGTTTATTGGAAAACCTTTCCATCAGAAAAGTGTAAATAATAGCTATTTAGAAAATGACATTTATTTGAAGGAATTTAAGTTATATACTTTGGCAGAGCGTTCCAAAGCTTATAAGAACCAATTTCAAAACATTGGCACATTTCTTTTAAGAGAGTAATTGGGTAAACTTTTGGTCAGCTTTAGAAATAAATTTGCTTTTATATGGAAATATTAATGCGAAAGCTCACCATTTTTGAGGCTTTAACGTTAAAATTTCTTAACGATCTTGAAAAAACTTTCCGACGTAATTTTGCACACCTACGCATTTGTCGGATTTACTAGATTTACTGATAGGCATGTGACACAAATAGGTTATAAAAGAAACGCCAAAAAATACGCGAATATTAGCCTTTAATGAATCTCCGAATAACTACTTTCAGTCGCAAAGAAAAAATAAGTCTTTATTTATAAAAGGGGAAGCAAGGCCCTCAAAATTAACAAAATTGCTAGATATTAAGTCAATATGACGAGCCTAAAAGACATATCACACAACATTATTTCTACCATTAATTCTTCGAGTGCTGATGTTCAACCTACTATCGATCTTATTGATAATTTTATAACGACACAGGAATTCCATACGGATCGTGAGAGACTTGATAAAATTAACAAATTTTCCTCAGAATTACTTTCCATATATAATTCTATTCAAGATTATCCACAAAAGTTTCACATATTTCTAAAATGTTTGCGAGCTTTATTGCCTATCTTGGGACCTGACGTAGTTATTTCCGATTGGTGTGATAGGATATTACTTCCGATTCTTAAGTCTTCACTTCAGCCAAAGGATATTGTTGAAGAAGTCAAAGCAATAATTCGTGAAGTTCTAGTATGTGAAACGGATCGAGTGATGATATTTAGGAAGGAAATCCTTGAACTTTATTTAAACGAATCAAGTATGATTGGAAAGGCTGCTGGTGAAGGTTATGGAGTTGTGGGTGAACAAGTACATGCATTCTGGTGCCGTAATTTGGAAAATGTACTTAGGGGATTTGGTAGCGTGAAGACGAAGGTAGCGAATGTGTTCAAACGCAACAATGAAATGTTGATATTTAAAAAAAACCGTTTTTTTAATAATAAAAATTTTTATGATTCAGGATTTCTTTATACTTTTGGATTCATATTTTGCTCAGAAACAATATCGGTTACAGGTATTAAATCTACTTGGAGAATTTATTCAACGACAGGTTGGCTGGTCATTATTCTTATAGCATTTTTCAGAATAGCATCTTTAATTTCTTTTAATTTTGCTTGGGATATGTATTTTAGAACCTTTTTTTTAATGAAAAAAAAAAAATTACGTTTAAATATATAGAGGTTAAACATTCATCAGATTCTGGAGACACCACTTTTTGATTCATTACTTATATCGCTGCAGGTATTTAATCATCGCTGTTTAATAGGTCATTATTTTTATCACGGTTATCACTTTCAACCAAAATTTATTTTAAAATACTAGAGGGATACTTCTACAACTTTGATTTCTTTATCATTGACGACACTTGTTATGCTCTTGCCTCATATATGTACATCTGTTATCACTTATCTTCCACGTCTTTACATCGTCTTTATCAGGATTTTATGTTGGGATAAACATGACTCTCGATGTACAAATTTTGATGGCGAATTGATCGGAAATGATTTAAATATTACCGAAGGGTGTGATGTACAAAAAACTGATGCTGAGTCTGACTGGGAAAGATGTGGCAAGTTTCTTGTTGTTGTTGATGCAGGATAGATTGCTTTTGTTCGGTATAGGTCAGAAATGAGAGTATACTCTTTTATTTTAGTACGCCCGTTGAACTTTTTTTTTTCTTTTTTTTAGAATATACTTTCGATAGCATACCTTCAACACCACCAAATTGTTCACACCTTTTTACGATTTTATACGGAATGTTTCCATGTAATACCGTTGAATTTTTAAGGAATCCAACAGCTTGGATAAAGAACATGAATTATACACCTTATGGAGATATTTATGATGACGTCGTTAGATCGAGAAGTATGGTGCGATTCATATCATATCTTCACATTGAATAGTTTATTATTTATTTGATTGATTAAAAAGAATTATATTGTATTTTTGTTTGTCCCTTTTCAATACTAATAGCCATTACTACGTCGTCATACACTTCATCCAAACCTCATTTTGAGCGATGCTCAAAAAGAATTATCAGACACTTCACGTTGGATTAAACTTGAACCCGCTGATGTTGTTGCAGAATGTATTGGGTATGATATGGAAAACGCATCAACAAAGCATCAGATCAGTGAGTTAGAAGACTTTACAAAAAAGGCTTTGGAGGGAGTTGATTCTACAAATGTCGAAATGAAAACTAGACGGCCATCGCAGGCAATATCCATACAAGAAATAATGGATGTTCATCAGGCATTAAAAAGTGGTGTTGAAATTGTTGTTGGAGACGACCCCTGGGTAGGTTAATTTTTCTATTTATATACTTATTATTAACATTGATATTCATTAGTTAATTTATTCATTTTTAGGATTCAAAGATAATTTCGTCAAATTCTATCAGTTCTACATCACCATCTGACCAAAATTTACCTGTGACACAATCTTTTATACCCTCGTCGAACGTACAAGCTAGTGTCGCATTTCTCCAACGTGAAATAATGTTACTTAGGAATGAATTAAATTTTGAACTTTATCTTAAACAACAGCACCTCCAACACATTGGCCGTCTTCATCGTGATCATGTGTTGGATATTAGCGCTGAAGCCGAGCGTCAAAATTTATACAACGCATGTAAAAACTTAAAACTGCAATTAGAGAAAACCCAATCAGCTTTTAATAGACAGAGAGATGAGAATGCAAGCATAAAGAAAAAGCATGTTCAATGGGAAGATGAATTAAACGCTAAGTTGAAAAAATATAGAGAGGAAAAGAAAGAATGGAAAACAGAATTAGACAAAGTTGAAGAGCAATTGAGGGAAGCCAAGGTTGGATTTTAATGCTGAATTTGATTTCTTAGTAATTATTGTTACGGATTATCGTGAAATCAGATTATCGTGAAATTTGGGGG